TTTTTTGGAATTAAAGTATTTATTGACTTTACTAATATTTTGAAAGAAGATTCCATGATATACCCAAAATAAGGGGGTGTTACGGTTTTTTGTGTATATACTGTATATGACGAGTGAGTTAGTCAAAATGACTTAATTCCCTTTATAGTCTACCAATAGAAGGTTGACCAATCAGAAGTCTCAGAACATTGTATCCGTCGTGTATAAAGGCGGCCATCTTTGTTTATCCTACCGGAATGACCAGATCCAACTTGTCAGGCGAACACGACAGAAGGAAGAACTACGCTCTGCTACTTTGCTGCGATACTGAACTACGCTTTCCTACTGTCTCCGAAATATTCACTGCCAACCTCTGGATTCTATACTCGAAGACGACCGTCATGAATTTGTAACAAGTAACGTAGCTTCACTGTGCCTTTTCTTTTCATGGCAATTGTTCTGATAAGCTGTTCTCCTTGGCACTTCCCGAAATACTGGTTGGTTACATTCAAAGCCGCGAAGACTAAGCTAGTTACGTTCCATCATCATCTATCTGAACACGAACTATCACAAATCAAGATGAACGGAGCTCCTCTCCCGAAAACATCATACCTTAAAAGACTGTTGGGCCTTAAACTCACACCCGACCTAAGGATTCAGATAAAATGTTCGGCCCCCTATACCGCTCCAGTAAGTACTTGACTCCTCCTGCTATCCTCTGCATTTACGAAGGCCAGACTAGGCCAAAGTGGAGTACTGATGTCAAATTTGGGCGAGAGCTGCCCAGACCTCACTCTCCAGCCGTGATAGAATTCAAAAGCGTCTCCGAGCCCTTATGGGTAACGATTTATTCTCCATCCTTCAACCTCTCATCCATAGGCGAGATGTGACAAGGCTCTCGCTGCTCCACCCCTACTTTGATGGAATGTGCTTAGACGAACTACATTGCCTGGTCCGGCCAAGGCAAACCTTCATGGCAGGAACACACCATGCCATTTACATAGTAGCAAACTACACAAATTCCATCGATGAGAAGTGTGTTCCACTCTGAAAGAATAATCCCGTAAACCACTGTCCCGTAGAATCGTCTCCTAATAGGATGTTTCCCCGATCACTAGAATCTTACTGAACTGAACTGATGCGACATTCACCCTGGGCGGATTGAGCCGGCTTCTTCCTGTTATGAGAAGAAGATTCTTGGGATAAATTACAGAAGTAGGGTACCCAGGCCTACTCGGATAACGTTCTTGCTTGCCGCGGGGTTCCCACAGACGCAGAGACAGGAACGACCAGAAGCCGCCGGTTATCGATGCAGACGCTCCTTGGATTTTCACCAGAGCCCTTGTTAGCCGGCGTGTGTGTCAGACCTGTCCGCCTTTGGTGGCCCTACCAGGAACGAAGTTCCGGCGGCATAGCTCTGACACTACTGTTTCTTTTCCCCCCACCGACCGTGAGGTAAGGGTTGGACTTTGGGGGCTTACAGTACCAGGTGTTCCCAAGCGGTCCCCATCTAAGTACTGACCTGGCTCTACGATGCTTAACTTCGGTGATCGAACGAGAACCGGTGTTTCAGCATGATTTGACCGTAAGAATCTTAACCTGTTCAAGACTAAGGTTAATCACACAAATAGCCTGCTAACGTAACCCTCTACCTCGAGTGGCCCCCGAGCCTTGTAAAGGGTGACTCTCATTGTAAAAAAAATAATTAAGCACAATATTAGATTGGACGCTACTTTTCAGCATTTTACAGTTGAAATGGCTAGATGGAACCGTAAGTTCTATGCTAATATTTTCTTCTCTCGCAATTTTCGTTTGTGAAACTTTCTTCTTGGTTTTCAGTCAAATACGATCTTCAAAAATTTAAATCTAACGTCAATCCACATTTTCTGGATTCTTGAGCCCTGTTCTTTCATTGTCCTCTCTCCTTAATAACGTTTTTTTCTTTTCTTTTTTACTTTCTCACTAACCACCTACGTATTAGTGTCTTTATCGCCTTGTTTGAAGGTAAATGAAAAGAGCTGAATACATTTTAAATATCGTCTCGATAACATTTTTTTTTCAGATTTAAATTCTTTTGATATTTGAGAACATATACTAAAGAGGAGAAAAAATATCTCCATGTCTGATAGAATTCAAAAGCGTCTCCGAGGATTTTTTGTTCGTGTTATTTGAATTTGGAGTCAGAGAAGAAAAAATGAAGGAAAAAATTATGGCAAAGAATTGTGTTAATTTGACCGAATTTTGAATTGTAGAGCCCGAACCTTTTAAAACTCTTTATTCTACACTCAACACTATCACTTGATAATTCAAGCTTATATATATATATATATATATGTGTGTGTGTGTGTGTGTGTGTGTGTCCTACATTCAACACCATCACTTGATAAGACACCAGAAGTGTTGAAACAAAATGCGTATTTTTGTAGTGATTTTATAACATATTTATGTTATAATTTACGAATAAATAATTATATTTGCTCTACTTTGTATTGAGCACACTTTTAAGAATAATATTTGTTGGTTATTGAAATTTATTCCGTATACCCCAAACCTATACTTGATATATATATATATATATATATATATATATATATATAAGTGGAGACTGTTATTTCCACATTGATAAACGCTCTATCCATGCTACTGAGCATTTTACCATAAACATAGTATACCTTCAAAACATATTTTTTATCTATACTATATACCATATAAATATATTTTTTTATATATATATATATATATATATATATATATATATATATATATATATATATATATATAAAAAACCTCTGGTACCTTACATAACATTGAGCATGTATTAATAACACAAGAGAAAGAAATATATAAGTACGTACAAGTGTATATATGCGTATACGTATTTTTTACCATACGCATCTCTCTCTCTCTAATATATATATATATATATATATATATATATATATATATATATATATATATATATGTGTGTGTGTGTTTGTGCGTGTATCATAAAGAAACGAAATTTATACAAAGAATTAAATAGCAATATTAATGTGATGGATGGCGAAATCACTTCGCTAACAAAACATAATGAGACATTAACTTCACTTGAATATTAAGATCTTTGTCTTCGAGTAGATGTCAGATGGAAGACACATGAGCAGTAATTTCAGCAATTTCAACTTGTTATCTTCAGGGCGCAATTTTTGTCCATACATAGGCAAACACTAAGCCGAAATATGTGTAGACTGAAAGATGTTTTTTATCATACACATCTCTTTCTCTCTCTCTCAAATATATATATATATATATATATATATATATATATATATATATATATAATCATTTATTTTAAAAATATGATTCAACACGCTACATAAGAGTTTCTCATGTTTTCAAAAAAAAGAGCCGAAAATTTTTATGGAATAACTTATTTCTGAAATTTACGTGTTTTATAACCAAAAAAAAATTTGCTTGAAGATGGAAACAGAGCTTTTAGTACTTTAATTCAATTTTATTCTAATAATTATATTGAAGTTTTCGGCTCTTGTTTTGAAACATGAGAACTCTTATGTAGCGTGTTGGAATCATATTTTAAATAAATAATTATATTTATGCTCTACTTTTGTATCGAGCACTGTTTTTAAAATAATAAAAAAAAATACTAAAGAACTTTGGATTATTTACCTAACGAGTTCTTTCCTATTTTCTATACACACACACACACACACACACACACACACACACATATATATATATATATATATATATATATATATATATATATAGTTTAATTGTATGAACAGATACATTCATACATAGAGAAAATGTGGTCTATTAAATTTAATGATCATCTTTGTAATTTACGAAAATGCTTTAGCTAATATGGTTGTTGTATCTGGATAACTTCAAGATTCATCTTGTGTTATCTTTGCTGTTTTACCTTAAAAATGTATCATCAGTTGATGTGAATGAGAAAAGAATACCTACAGCAATCGGTGTTTCATTAGTGCATGGTTGCAAGTGAAAACATTTATAGAAAATGCACAGGGAAGCTACATTATGGCGGTGAGAAATGCCAGGTCAGGACCGATAACACTGCATTTTTTTTTCTTTAATGTCAAGAATTTCTCGATAAATAGCAGAAGCACCAAACCAGATGTGACAAGGATGAGTGGTAGACTTACAACTGGCAATAATGCACAAGGCACCTGATCTCTGAGAGAATTCCTATGCACTTAATGATGCAGATAGATAAGTAGGCAACTCACGAATGAGCATTTATAGATTTAGTCCAGGCTAATAAATGCGCAGATAATATACTCAATGCTGACAGAAATATAGTGAAATAATCTATCAGAGAAACTACAGCTGAAGTCTATCTGTTTACAGCGGGTCAGTTAGAAAGAAAGAAAGAAAGAAATGACCAGCTTGAGATAGATAGATAGATAGAAAGAAAGAAATGACCACGCCGAAAGATACAAAGATAGAAAGAAAGAAATGACCAAGCCGAGAGATAGATTAATAGATAGATAGATAGAAAGAAATTACCAGCTTGAGATAGATAGATAGAAAGAAATGACCACGCCGAGAGTTAGATAGAGAGATAGAAATAAATGACTAGCCTTAGATAGATAGATAGATATGCTTTGAAATATATATCAGTATATATTTATATACACCGGGTTTACAATTAAAATATATTACAAAGCAAATGAACAGACGAATATATGGAAATTGTTACAAAATGAGGTGTAGAGATTGCAGGTTTTTTTAACTAATTTAATTCACCTCTATATGGGCATCATTAGTTGTACAAGGTACATTATGACGATACTCGATTTCTTGCCATGTTCGCTGTAGCATAGCCTCATCTATCTTTGTTCGATACACGATATCTTTATAACCCTATAGAAAGAAGACAAGGGTGTGATATCTGTTGAACGAGGTGGCCAAGAAGTTGGGCCATTCCTTCCAATCCAAATTGTTTTTGTAATATATGTTTTAAATTGTTGAGACTTTACGGACACCCTATATGTAAGTATGTATGTATGTATGTATGTATATACCTATCTATCCGATCTGTTCATATCTATCTATCTATCTATCTATCTATCTATCTATCTATCTATCTCATTATGTTTATGTCTATCCAACTTTGTTCATATCTCTTTCAATGCGATATGAATTTTATGAAAAAATATTCATTGTAAGCTATAGTTTACTGTTACTTTCGAAGTCGTCAGTTGTTGCTTAGTTGGTAGATAGATAGATAGATAGATAGATGGATAGATAGTCTCACATACAGATAGGTAGATAGAAAGAAAGAGTTTTACATACAGATAGATAGATACAAAACACAGATAGATAGATAGATAGATAGAATAGTGCAAGGATTTTCGAGATAGATAGATAGATATGCTTTCAAGTTGTAACTGATGTAAAAGTTTATTGTGTTTTTATTATTAATATTATAAACGCAATTTCCCAAAGGTCACGAGAATTCATAAACAAAATTATCTTCACATTGGGAGGATGTTTGACGTCTCATGTAAAGATTAGACGCTTTAAACTTTTTATAGTATATGATTAATCTCTCTCTCTCTCTCTCTCTCTCTCTATATATATATATATATATATATATATATATATATATATACATATCTATAGTGAAACGACCTATCTTACTGAGTCTTTACAGTTAAAGTCTACCTGTTTAAAATTTCTTCTAATTCGGAATAAATGAATTCTTTAAACATATTTTCACCATTCATACAGGCCAGTGTGCCCATAAGATGAATATTTGGCTTTCAAAATCAAGCCATATGCATTCACATTAAATGCTCGTTGCCTCATTGTTGCCGGTCACTTTGTTAATATCGATTTGTTTTTGCTTACCATTTTCTTCTGGCGCCAGTAAAAAAAACACCATTTAAACTTTTCTTTCTTTTCGTTTATTTGACTATTTCTGATCCTTATGCTTTCATTTTTTCTATGCCAAGAATGCCGCTCGGTACAGGAGTAAAGATTCTCTCGCCTTTAGACGCCATGATTTATTTCATGATGTCTGTTTATTAAGGAATCAAAATGAAATGTTTCATTTCACTCTTTCCCCTCATGAGATCAAAATATCGCAGTTTGTTTATATCTATCTATCTATCTATCTATCTATCTATCTATCTATCTCAGTCTGTTCATATCTATTTATATATCTATCTATCTATCTATCTATCTATCTATCTCAGTCTGTTCATATCTATCTATCTATCTATCTATCTATCTCAGTCTGTTCATATCTATCTATCTATCTCAGTCTATTGATATCTATCTATCTCAGTCTGTTCATATCTATCTATCTATCTATCTATCTATCTATCTATCTATCTCAGTCTATTGATATCTATCTATCTATCTATCTATCTATCTATCTCAGTCTGTTCATATCTATCTATCTATTTATCTATCTCAGTCTATTGATATCTATCTATCTATCTATCTATCTATCTCACTCTGTTCATATTTATCTATCTATCTATCTATCTATCTATCTCAGTCTATTGATATCTATCTATCTCACTCTGTTCATATTTATCTATCTATCTATCTATCTATCTATCTCAGTCTATTGATATCTATCTATCTCAGTCTGTTCATATCTATCTATCTATCTATCTATCTCAGTCTATTGATATCTATCTATCTATCTATCTATCTATCTATCTATCTATCTATCTATCTCAGTCTGTTCATATCTATTTATCTATCTATCTCGATAAATAGACCATAAATTGACAAGTTTTATTTGTATTTTAATACTACCACACATGATAATAATTAAAAGAAAAAAATGACGAGCTATATAACTAGTTTTGAACCTTTATCAACGGAGTTAAATCTGCATTAATAAAATTTCCAAAAATAAAATATACTTTTCTGAAACGCTATTTGAAAAATATTAGCTGATTTAAAGTATAAGTAATCTTATTTTGAAAAAAAAAATTACTTTAAGTTTAAAATAACGCAAAAATGTATTTTTAAAACAAATAGGAGCTCTGTTTTAAATGATATCACCATGTGTTACGTGATTGACAAGGCGATGACAAATTGATTGTTGTTCTGCGGAGACTTTATCTGTAAAACATAATTTAAGAAAATGATGTCAGCGCCTTTTTAAATATAATTTTTAAGTACTCAGTAATCTTAAAAATGTTGGAAATATTCTCCGTAATATAATTTTAGAAATGTTGACTTTAAATTTATGATAGTCATCGCTCTTATTTTTTGATAATGTCGTGTATGGTCGACCATACTTTCAAAAATGGGCACGTTACATAATATTTTATATACATAAAAAAGTAAAAATTATTTTTAAAATCTTGGTGTTCGATTTTTGTTATTAAGCTTTACCATTTATGATTTGGAAATATAGTTTTCAATTCATAATAATATAATCTAAATGGCTGAAAAAAAATTAAAAACTTAATAAATTTTTTAATTAAAATTTTAAAAAAATGAAAATTAGAAAAAAAATGAAAGCATGTAAAAATTCATTAGTGTCATTAAAATCCGACAATTATTTTATTTTTGCAAGAATTTCCAAATCAAAGTTTTTCACCGGAAAAAAAGCACTAAAAATAATCGTAGATATTATGTCGACAGCTAACGCAAAAAGACCGTGCGATTAAAAAAAGTTTAAAATAATAAAAAGACATTTTGGTTTTTCCTCTTAATGATAAAAATTCTGGAAATTTTTCTCCTCGGATTCGATACTTCAAATATACAAAACAACCATTCGCCCTTGCATGGAGTATTGCTGCCATATATGGGCTGGAGCACCTTCTGTTTACCTCGGAGTTCTTGACAAGATCCAGAGACGGATATGTAATATAATTGGCCCTGATCTGGCACCTCGTCACAGACGCGCCGTCGCCTCTCTCTGTCTTTTCTACAAATACTTTCATGGTAATTGCTCCGATGAGTTGCTTTCACTAGTTCCCAGACTCCATGAATTCAAGCGCCCTACGAGGCTGGCATCCCGTTCTCACCCTTACACTGTAGAAACTTTTAAATGTAGCCGTCTCTTCTACTTCAATAGCTTCATACCTTGCACCTCTCGCCTGTGGAACACCCTTCCCAATTACTGTTTTCCTGAGAGCTATAATCTCCAACTATTCAAATGTAATGTCAATCGACATCTCCAGTTACCTTGATCTCCCCACTATCCCTCTCCTCATCTCTCCTCATTTTTTCTATCGCTCCTATCTGCTCTCGCTCCAAATCTTCCGCAACCCCCTGCATCCTAGTGGTTTCGCGCCTTGCTCGGGGCGTAATGCTTAAAAAAAACAAAAAAAACTTTTTGACGATAAAATTTTGTTTTTATTAAGTCTGGTGCATTTTTTCATCATGCTATGCTGTGTTTTTTTCAGCGAATTAGTGGAGCTACCTAATCTATCTATCTATCTATCTATCTATCTATATATATATTAATAAATATACAATAAACCCCACTGCCAGAACGACTTGAAGTTTCATGCACTATAAGATTTGTAAAAAGGCGCCTGGCAATTGGGAAAATTCCATCAACAGCGAGGCCCGAAAAACAGCCACTGAGTTTGAAAGCGACGATAGATTCCATAAGTTACATAGTCAAACAGCATTTACCACAGTGAAGGACCGCAAAGATGATTTTCCATACAAACCAAAATACCGGCTACTCCAATCCATTCAAAAATTATATCAGTAAAATAAGCAAGGAAATCATCAAAAGAGCCTTCAGCTACATGAAAAAATACTTTAGTAATCAACCAGTGGCGTAATACAGCCGACGTCATTGGTTGATTCACTAAAATAAAAAAAAATAAAAGTAAATGCTCTTTTATGCAATTTAACATCTTTAACATCTACCCGTCTATCACCTCGGATCTACTGATAGCCGCGATAACTCTGGCCAACAATTACTGCTCCAGTATCTGTCTATATTTCTGAGATGAGCTATTATGTACACTATTTAAATTATTCGGACAATAGTCTGAATAATGTAAATAGCGTACATAATTACTGCCCCATAAGCAACCACAACATTAGTATCATAAAACAAGCCCCAAAATCCTTTCTAATCCATGAAAGATGCCTGTGGACTAATCGAAACAACCCAGATTTTTGCATTGCTATGGGTGCGTTTGAATCGACGGAGGCATGTGAATTAGTTAGAATTCTACTACTTTGGGGACTAAGATTCATGGTCGATATAAAAACACCGGACTCTATAGAGACGATTATATAATCCCCTGCATAAAGCAGCTGCAAACAAAGCAGTCTGACGAAGAAAAGTCAGATTAAATTCTTTAAACCACCACCAACAACAACAACGTCAAAGTGGTCTACTTCCTGGATGTAACTTTAGACCTTTCTAATGGACATTATAAAACGCATACTAAAGACCTATACAGCCATAGATACGTCAGCAATCTAACTACTACTCTAGAATTTTAAATAATTTACATAAATCGGTCTAATTTAGGATTTCCACCAACTTTAGAATAAATAATTTTTTTATAAGTATAAAAGCAAATATGTAGAAGCCTTAGAACAATGTAATCATAAGATAAACCATGAGTATATAGAAATTGACAAAAAAGATTTTAACAAACCGAAACTCCGTAAACACACTATCACATCGTTTAACCAACACTTTAGCAGTAATGTCAAAACTAACATCGGAAGATTTTTCCTGAATTTAATCCATAAGCATTTTAGTCATTTCCCAACAATAATAAAGATTTTAAATAAAAACAACTTTAGCTATATTTGTATTAAAAAAAAAAACATTGATCAATATATATTACAACAAAACAATATTATATTAAACAAGCATCTAACCAACCTACAAAATAAATATAACCCTACAATTGAATAATGCAACTGCTGAAAAAACAAGACCCGCTCGCTGAACGGCAAGTGCAAAGGTATAATTTATAGAGCTAGCATCAAACATGATGTCTAGGTCAAGTTTTATTTTGGTTCAACTGAAAACCGTTGGAAATCATGTTTGTACAATCACCATATGACATTAGGCAATATTAAATATAGTAACAGCACTGCCATCTATATATTTTTCAGAAAAATAAAAAGCGTCAATAGACACACAACGATTACCTGGAATTATGTAGCAAAAGTCAAAACTTTTA